GTAATGGATTACTTTAAAAACCTATATGCTTCTAAATTTGCAAACCTAAAAGAAATGGACGGGTATCTAAAAGTATGGGAATCACCAAATTTAAACCAAGAAGAGATCAGACCCTTAAACAGACCCATAACACATAAGGAAATTGAAACAGGAATACAAAACCTCCCAACTAAAAGAAGCCCAGGACCTGATAGAATTACTGCAAAATTCTACCAGACATTTAAAGAAGATCGTTATCCAACATGACTTATTCAAAAAGATGGAAATATGAGCCTTAGTTGTAGAGATTCGACTGCAGATGTGTCACCTAGTACTGGGCATCACCCAGGTATATTTTCTCTATGCCTGGCCAGATGTGCAACTCTGCAATAGCGTTCATGGGCTACAAGAAGCCTCTTTAATGAGCGCTGTGTGTCAGGTTTGTCGCACTAAGGGAGGTCTCTTCTATCTCACACTGTGTTCCTTTCCAAGCAGCTCCTAGGTATACATATGCATTAATATTCAGACCCTCTTACATGCATTTCTTTTAGGTTTTTTATGGCATCACTTTTCCTATAGTTTTGCTAGCCCACCAAGATACATTCAACTCTACATTTTCTTCTTCCATCCAACCTCCCTCCCTCCATAGTCACAGTGCCCTCATTACTCCCACCCTCCCCTCAATACCTCCCTACTCCCACCATCTTTCCTTTCCCTGGCTTCCCTTTCTCCTGCACGCTATGGTTCTTTGCATGTCGCTCGCTACTATCCTCCCTGCCAATTACTTAATATTTTTCCATCTCCCTCAGGTAGCATCTGCTCCCTATTAGCTCCAATTCAGGTTGTTTCTTTTCCTTCACTTCTATGTATACTTTGCATTTAAAGGGCTCCTGTTGTTACTTCAGGATTTACATAATCACAATCCACAAATGAGGGAAATATACATTGCTTACTTTTCTGCATTTGTGGTACTTCACATAGTAAAATGCTCTCCAGCATTTACCATACATTTACGTGTAAATGTCATAATTTCATATTTTCTTACTGCTGAGTAGAACTCAATTGAGTAGATGTGCCACATTATCATTAACCTTCTGTCCGTTGAGGGACATTTAGGTTGTTTCCATTTCTTGCCTATTGTGATGAGAGCAGCAACAAACATGGATGTACTGCTATGTCTACAGTAAGATGACTCTTTTGAACATATACCAAGGAGTGGTATCACTGGATCATATGGTAGGTTTATTTTTAGTTTTTTGTGGGTTGTCCACACTGCTTTCCACAGTGGTTGCACAAGTTTGCATCCCCACTAGCAGTGAATGAGCACTCCTCTTTCTCCACATCCTCTCTAGCATTTGGAGGCTTTTGTTCTCTTGATCTTGGCCAATCTGCCTGGGATAAGACAAAATTTTAGAGTTGTTTAATTTGCTTTTCTCTAGTTGCTAAATATGTTGAGCACATTTTAAGGTGCTTCTTAGCGATTTTTATCTCTTCACTTGAGAACTCTCTGTGTGGGTCTTTCACCCCATTCTTTATTGGGACATTTATCTTCTTATTTCTTTTTTAAGTTCTTTGTATTTTCTGGATATTAATCCTCTGTCAGTTGTGTATCTGGTAAATATGTTCTCCCACACAGTGGGTTTCCTTTCCTTTCCTTAGTTGGTTCTTTTGCTATACAGAAATTTTGTGATTTAATGATGGCCCACTTATCGATTGTTGATTTTAGTGCCTGAGCAGATGGTGTGTGGTTTAGAAATTCCTTTCCTCTGCCTTTATCCTATAGAGTGCTGTCTATGTTGTCTTCAAGTAGTTTCTGAATTTCAGATTTTATATTGAGGAAGGGGTAGAGAGACGGCTAATGCACCCTTAAATTCTCACCTTTGAGGCTTCCATGTAGATCAGAGTGCAATACACACAGAACGCCTCAGCTGGCCAAGTATTGGAGAATATGACCCTTAGAGTGTAGGATGGGACTCCTCTATGGAAACTCACTCACTGACAGCTCAGAGACCATTGTGGAAGAGGAGGCAGAAAGATTGTAAGAACCAGGGTTCATGAATGCATGAGGTGGAGGCATCCGGGCCAGTGGGGGCTGGTCATGTGTGCCTTGGAAGTGGTAACATCCAAGGTGAGACTCATGTCACCTCAATTAAACAAGGGACCAAAGGGGAGGTGGAGGTAGGTGGCAGATCAGCATTAGATTGACAACTCTTTGAGATTGGTTACTGCTGCATGACGGAGAGTATGACCTACATACAACCACTGGATGGACTGTCTAGAGTCCAGTGGATGCATTTGCACTGAAGTACATTTGGGTATAAACACCTGAATGAATAGGACTCAGCATATATGGCAGAATGCATAGGGTTCATTGGGGAGCATGGTTGAGAGAGGGGGTCTAGTTTTGAGTGGAAAATATCGTATGGAATTTTAAAAGCTCAATAAAAAATAAAAAAATAAAACAAAAAACTAAAATATAAAAACAGAGGAAGAACATCCAAATTCCTTCTGTGAAGACAGACTCAGTCTAATACCAAAACCAGGTAAAGATACAACCAAAAAGAAAACTATAGACCCATATCCTTAATGAACATAGATGCAAAAATTATTCACAAAATACGTACAAACTGCATAAAGACACACGTCAAAAAGATCATCCACCATCATCAAGTTGGCTTTATTCAAGAGATACAGGGGTGGTTCAATATATATAAGTCAATAAACATTATAAATAATATATATGGACACAAGGAAAAGAACCAAATGGTCATCTCAGTAGATGCAGAGAAGGCCTTTGACTAAATTCAACATGCATTTATGTTCAAAGTCTTAGAGGGAACTGGACTGGAGGGAAAACACATCCAAGTAATTAAAGCTATATACAACAAACCCACAAGCAACCTTATTCTAAATGGAGAAAAACTGGAAGCATATATTAAAAGCAGGAACCAGACAAGATTGTCCACTATCTCCACTCCCTTTTAATATAATGATTGAAACTTTTTTGAGAGAAATAAGAAAAGAGAAGGAAAGTAAAGCAGTAGTTGTTGGAAAAGAAGGGGGAAATTATCACATTTTGCAGATGATATGATATTACATCTAAGAGATGCCAAAAATTTTTCCAAACAACTCCTAGAAATGATTAACAATTTCAACAAAGTGGCATGTTACAAAATTAATTTATAGAAGTCAGTAGCTTTTCTATTTACCAAAAACAAGTCATCACAGAAAGACTACATGGAAACACTCCCTTTCACAATAGCATCGTCATAAATAAAATAATAGAATAGAATAGAATAATGTAAAGTAAAATAAAATAAAAAGCAGTAAAATAAAATAAAATAAAACATCTCAGAATAAACCTTATCAAAAATATCAAGAACTCTACAATGATAATTCCGCTCAATGATTCATTGATTCAGTATTAGTAGTAATTATTCAGTTCTGATGTCTCTTTCTGTTTATTCCAAGTCAAATTGTCCTGTCTATTCAAGATAGTGGGATCTGGAAGAAACCTGCTAATACTGAGTTGGGGTTAGTCTGTGTGTTATTGTCCTGTAGTACCTTTTTATGAAATTGTGTGCACCAGAATTTGATGGATATGCATTCATGATTGTAATATCTTCTCAGTCAACAATTTCTTGGATCAGAATGGAGTCTATTTTATTATTTGAATTTCAACACCTGCTTGTATCTTTGTGCCATTTGCTTGCAATATTTTTTCATCCTTTCACAATAAGGTAGTGTCTGTCCTTGAAAGTGATATGATTTTCCTTGAAGGTAATGAAAATTTGGATTTTGTTTCCTAATCCATTGAGCTTACTTGTGCTTTTTTACCTGGAAAATGAAAGCATTGATTTTTAAAGTTATTTTTAAAAGATGTATATTAGAAAATCATCATTTTAATATCTATTTTCATTTTAATTATTCCTTCATTTACTTTCTGTTGCCTCTTGGGTGTAGTTTTTACTTTCTTCAGTCCTTTGTGTTGCATCAGCTATTCTATATAGGGACGTTTTGCTGGACATGAATTCTTTCAGTCTATTCCTGTCATAGAATATTTTTATTTTCCCTTCAATTGTAATCGTTTTTATGGATAAAATGTTCAGGATTGGCAAGCATGATCACTTAGAACTTGTTATACTTTGGTCCAGGTTCTTCTGGTTTTCATAGCTTTCACTGATTAGTCAGTTGTGGTTTTGATGTGTTTTCCTTTATATGTGACTCATTTTTTTTCTTGCAGCTTTCAGTTTTTCACTGCATATTTAGCAGTTTTAGTATGGTATGACATGGAGAGTCTCCTTACTTCTCCTGTCTATTTGGTATTCTATGTGCTTTTTGTATCTGTAAGGGTTTGTCCTTCTTTAATCTATGGAAATTTTCTTCTATAATAAATGCTCAATGTCAACGACCTGGGATTCTTCTCCTTTTTCTATGCCTAGGATGAGTAATTTGGTATTTTCATGTTATCTCACATTTTCTACATATTCAATTTCTCTGTTTTATTTTTTTTCATGTTCTTTGCTTGAGCAGTTCAATTCGTCAACATTATAATCCAGTCTTTGATATTCTCTTTTCCATTTCAGTCACTCTGTGGGAAAGACTTTCTCCGGTAATTTTTAATTGGATTTTTCAGTTTCCCTTATGTTTTCATTTCAGTCTGAGAGATCTTCACTATTTCTAGCTCTTTCAGGATTTCAGTAAGAAGTTTGTCTCTATCATCTTTTAGTTTTTGAGTACTTTGCTTGTGTGTTTTCTTAATATGTTGAGCTCTTTGATCATGTTTATAATATTTCTTCTAAATTCTGTGTACTGGGTTAACTCTAGGGAGTTCTCATTGCAACACTCTTCAATAAGACTGGTGGTATTTGCTGGGACATATTATTTTAGTTTTTCATATTATTATTTTATCATTGTGGTTTTGGCATGTGGATTTATTTTGTTGCTTGTGATTCTTGTATGGATCTCAAGCCTACATTTGTTGAGTTGAAGTTTGATTCTGTATGTATTATTGATCTATCTTATTTGCTTTCTGATTGAGTATGAAAAGTAAGTTGGCCTAGGCTTCAGGTTATCTCTTTTGATTTTATATTGGATTTTATATTGGACCAGATGGACACATTCAGGACACTGAGGAGCTCTCACAGCCCTGACTTATTAAACACACTTCAAGCATCAGAGGAATAGTTTAAAGGTCCAAGGAGAGAAGATGAGTAAAGGATGTGTAGATCCCTACTAGTCAGCCGGAAATCCTAAGTCCTGGATCATTGGGAGGGCCTGCAGATGGTCCCAAAACAGGGATGTCCAGGCCCGTACTAGCCAGCAGGGAAGCCTGAGCACTCATTGTTTCCAATTTAATAACCAATTTGCTCCAATTTGTTCTGATCATATAATTCTGGGTGTAGGGCCATCCAATAGAACATGGTCAACTACCAGGAGCGAAATGCTTAAAGAAAAATGATTCTCTCTCCCTGAGGATCCATTAACTCTCCATAGGCCCTATTTTGGGGTAAGAGATCAGGACCCCACTCCATGCTAGAATGAGAATGGCTTGATCTCATTCAGGTCTTCTGAAAGAGACTGTACCTGCTATAAGAAAATGAGTGCAATAATTCTGTCAGGTCCAGAAGAGGTTGCCTTTCTCTGCTTCTCCATGCCTCTGGCTTTTACAGTTACATGATATTCCATGAAGCTTAGGGAGGATGTGATATAGATGTCTCATTTGTTGCTTGATACTTTGCAGATATCTATTATCTTCAATTCCACCACTTGTGAGATTCTCAGATATCTACAATATATTATACAAAGACTTCTCTGATGAGGTCACAGAACTTCAGTAATCTCTAGTTAGAGAGATATGGTTTTAGAGAGTACTTTGATAATATGTCTATTTAGCAAAATAATAGTAGTATGTTCAACCCTGAGGCCTTTGACCTCCCCAGCCACAAGAGCATAATTGTCATACCATACATGTGTTTTTACCTATGGAAAAAGCCTAA